AAAATCTTACTATACTTGAAAGGTATTAAATTTTTATTCATGATTTTTACCTACACTGATTTTCAGAAAGAATTTTAGTTCAGTTACAACAGAAGATACATAGGCAATAGGACTGACTATTAAAGATAAAAGAACAAGAATCATATAATAAAAATAGCAGATAATTGTCCCAGAAAACCTAAGTTAAGCATGGTTGTAACAGTTGAACACTAAATTTAGCTTTGAACTTCCTGGCAGCTAAGACAGAACACAAAATACAGTTAGACACAAAAGTCTCCATAATTTACAAACTGAAGCATGCTGGTTCATTAGGAGAGAAGAAAGTTTTCCTTCCACAAAATTCTAAGAGGATCACGGGTGAGATCATTATGTGGGCACACAGCTGTCCCTATTTGCCATACAACTTGAAGTAACTTGAAGTTATATGTAGACATATGACTGAGTGCTAGCCAATGGGATGTGAGCTGGACCGCAAAAATTCCCCAGTGCTCCCCACTGCTACCAGCTGATGCATGACTTGTGTAGAAGGCAGAAGGTGGGAACAACCTGAGACCTGAATCCCTGCTTGCAATTGCTTGCCCATTAGAAATATCTGCTTTTTACTTTATATGAACAGGAAATAATACCTCTGTCATGTTGCAGATGTTATATATTTTACACAGTTTGCATACACTATAAAAAAGATTTTCTAATTCTCAACATTGTTGGATAGTATAATATCCAGCTTTACACCTTAACAGTTTTATCTAAGAAAAAATTTTAAATGAACTTTGTGAACCATCTCATTTTGTCAGAGACAAGAACATCTAAAGGTTCTGGGGAAAGGGAATGAAACAAAACTGGGTAATTTTATTTATGTGTTTGGGATGGTGGTGCCTGGGTGGAAAGGAAAGAAGCAAGAGATGAGGATAGTTTTGGAGTATGAGACACGTCTAGGAAGACCTGTTCATTTGGGTACCTTAGTAGTGAAGGTACAATGGATAATGTGAAGGCCTAGAGAAGGACGAGTCCTCCATAAATTTGGAGGAAGCTTGACAGTTCAGAAAGAAGGACAAGTAAAAGAAGATAAGAAAGGGCCCGATCTGACTTTCTATATTCCTATAGAGCCTAACTTTCCTGGCAGGACATCAACATTCTCAGCTTTGTCTTGAAGCAAACAAGCACAGTTCATAGACCCTGCTGTAGAATGCTTTCTAAAATTCCCAAGATACTGTTCAGGTGTTTTGGGAATTTTATAAAGATAATCAAGGATGAGAATATCAAAATTCTTTAAAAGTAATTATATTACCCATTAAGCACAATTCTAGAACTTGCAGAATTGACTACTGAACTTCTCTGGTCTTTTGAGATTCAGTTTGAATAAGTGCATTGTGTTTAGATCTCATTCACCTCCAAAACACATTTGTTTTAAGAATTCTCACCGAATAGTCTCTGGGGCATTCTTTCTAGGATTTTTACTATGCCTTTCTTACACTAAACTATTTGGCCTTTCCTACTTTAAGGATAAATACCTCACATTTTACGTGTGGCTCAGGAGGTTTCACTTCTAGCTATAGTTAAAGCTAAAGATTTAGCAGGACTTGGCCAAATGATAGCACGGAGCTGACAGGGTAGGGCCAGCCCCCAGCTCTCAGCTTACAATCAGGCCAGAACAGATATGCCAGGAGAAGATATAGACACAGTTGCTGACAAAGGCAGTTCAGGACCTAACCCGGAGGGCCCAGGAGCACAGGGCAAACAGGAGCAATTAATCTAGGATCAAGGCCTAATGTTAAACCATTGTTGATATACAGAGATCAACAATGGAAAATGTAAAAAAAAGAAATACTCAGATACCTACATAGCCAGACTCTCTTTACTCTCAGTAAATATTAGGACCCATGGCTGTCCCAAAATTCCATTTTCCTTAGACCAAAATTTCTACTTCTCCCCACTCCTACAAAATCAGCAAACCACAACTACTCTTCCTCAAATAATAGCTGGCTTTTGTAGTTTCAAAGAAAATGTAAGATACGGTTGACATCAAAATCACATGAGCATCCAGAGACCATGTCATTTCTCTAAGTATTGTAAGTGCTACGGGAAAGTTTGAGTAACAACCATTTTACGATTCCATGAATAATGCAAGTTTCTCTCCCTTCAGGCTGATATATGCCTTTTTTGACACCATCACTTAAAGGAAAATGAAATCCACAAGTTACTTTTCTGTCCTTCTACCTGGGTAACTTATTTGTTCCAAAGAAAAGAATCAAGACATCAATTAGACTTTTTGCCTGCTAAGAAAATATGAAATGAGAGATAGAACAATTATGTTTTTTACTCTTCTATGTGAATTTATGTCTTTGCAACTCTTACTACTTCTTTCCACCACTAATAGGAATGAAGACACATAGCAGCAAGTGTCACTTGAAGTTTAATTTCCTTTAAGAAATGTATGAATTAGAATCAAGGTACTGTCAGAGGTCATATGGTTTAACATCTACTTACTAAATAAGTAATATCTAATGTTAATTGAGCACTTAATCTCTGTGGCATGCACTTTTTAAAGTGCTTTCCATATAGTACCTCTTTTAATCCTCATGAAAACTCTGTTATCCTCATGTTAGAAATAAAAGAAACTGAGGCCCAGAGAGATTAAGTATTTGCACAGAGTCACATTGTAAGTGTCAAAGCTGGGATTTAAGCTCAGGAAATCTGACTCCCGGATCTGAAACACTGCGTGATTCTGATCCATTTATACCATTGCACAATGAACATGAGCACTACTTGCTTTATTCCTAAATGTTACTACTACAATTCATATGGTACGTGATATTTTATTTGGAAAGATATGTAAAACATTTACTGCGTAATTCAAAGGCCCAACTTCCTGTTTTTTCACTTAAGAATTGCCACTGCTATTTAAGGAGAAAGACTTCACCTAATATCTAACAACTCTTCAACCCCAAACAAGCAGTCTGTGTAAGAAAAAAAAAATGAAGATAAAGGGAATCTGGTGCCAGAATCTTGACATTTCTGAGAGCATGTCCTTAGTAATTGGACCACAAATAACTGCCTTTAGAGTTTGAAGTTGCAGGAATGCTGTTGAGGGCATTTTATCCTTTTACAAAAATCTATACCTGTGGCCTCTAGGCCTAAAACTCATGACAGATGGAGTGAATACCATTAAAACTGTCTAGTGCATCATTCTTATTTAGGTGTCCATGCTGTGTTTGGAAATCATGTTGGCTCAGAGGTCTAACTTTTAGTACTGGCTGCACATTTGCCATGGGATTATTCCATTCACTGGCTGTTGAGTCTGCTAAAATGGATGAACTTAAGTTGTTTTTTTTTTTTTTTTTTTTTTTTGAAGGTATACCTGCAAAGCTCAATTTCTTTTTTTCAAAAAACTGTCTATGTTCATACAAGCTCTGAATTACCTTCTCTTCTCTCCTTGGGTCCGTTAGTTTCTGCTTTTCCAACTGGTAATGAAAAAATAAGTGGTCTGGCCTTTGAAATGTTTAACATAAAATTAAATTAAAACTTGAGGTTGAATTTTCCAGTTTCACTTGGGTTCACTCAAGACTAATCTTTAGTTTGGAAAGAACACCCACCTCTAACCTTCTGTAGCAGTTTCACTAACACATCAACTTTATAATGTAGACTCTCCTAATAGGCCCTAACATTCAAATTCTTTATGTTCTTAGCACCAGAACAAAACTGCCACATTTCTGTTCACTACAGAGTCAAAGCTGTCATAATCTGCTGTTACATTTTCCTGAATGTCCTCAAGCTGTCAAAATGTTTGCTATGTCTATCAAAATATGCCAAATTTACTTGGGGCACTGGGCATGAGCAGCAGCAGTGAAATCTTTCAGATAAATGAGGTTGGGTGAATAGCAAATATATGAAGGTTAAAATGAGAAAAGTGTAGGACAGAGCATGTCTTGCTACTAAATATGATAAGTTCTATTATAAAGAAATAATTGACACTATTGGGACATTAATTTATCAATACAGGTGAAACCCAACTTGTTATATTCTTTCGTGGATATCTAAAGGTAAAAATGTGTGCCTATTACAGGCCAATATATTGTGAGCTTTTATTATGTTTTATTAATTCCCAGGTGGTATTCCAAAATATTTTCTATTTCAAATTAATATGGATACTCCTAGCAACCACAGACAATCTTAAGAAGCCCCTAGATCATATTTTAGCAAACATAATATAGTAGAAACGTTGGAGGCTCATGATTACCTAAATTCTACATCATGGAAGAGCACTTCTTTCTATCCATATTTGAAACTAAAAATCACTTTGATGTATGCTGTTCATTATGCGTAGCTGCAGAATTCAAAATTAATTGACTAACAGAGAAAGAAGAAAATTATTCATGTTAGTTAAATTCCTACGGTTTATTTTTTATGTCGAGTTAAAATGAAAAATTCTAATTTTGTTTTTATTGGCATTGTTCCAGGATTTACAAAATGAGTGGGAGACTCATCCCTCATAAGGGATCTTGAGACAACAAAGCGCCGAAATCAGCTTAGAAAAGGAGCTGTGCCACTTAGGGTGAGTGAGACAGGAGGAAATTTTTGCAAACTGTGTATGCGTATTTGCATTTGCTGAGTTCTATGTCCGTATTAAATGCAAGAACAATTATTCCTGGAGGTCACCTTAGAGATCTGGCTTTCCTCACTTAGAACCGTAATTTTTTGTTTCCCCAAAATATGTTGAACTCTGAGAAAAAATTTTTTTCCAAGAGTAGATAGTTCTTTCTTGATAGTAATGAAATTCAGTGAAGCAATTTCAAACTAAAGAATATTATTTGGCCCAAAGAACTGGGGGGCAAAGTTACCAAGCATGTTGTGTTAAATCTAGGTCTAACCAATTATGTTTAATTCTGTGCTATAATCATTAAGTATATTTTTTTAATGCTGAAAGAAAAATATCTCTGTGTTTCATTCTAGGCTCCTTCATGAACAACTCAAACTATCTGGTCAATAAGCTTCACACTTACCTCAAAGGCCTTCTGTATTTTTACAAAGTCACACACGCTGAGTTGGTTTTCAAGCAGGCCTGTGCCATAGTCTTCAAATGCAGTTACATCTTCTGTTCTCTCAGGGCTCTTTGGCCCAGGCTGTGAGCCTGTGTTTAACTCAAGTGCAGCTTTCTGGCAACTCATAATGGCTTCACGTTTTCTCAGCTGCCTTCAACTATTTCTAGATGGTTGGATCTTTTTTCCCTTCAACAGGTGCCTTTGAAAAGAAACTCAACTTAGCAATAAAATTCCAAAATGAAAGTACAAACCTTTCAAGGCGTACGATTAGGAGGTAAGCTGAGCTGGGAAATGAAAGCCCTCAACCCCCTCACTTATTTGATTCCAGAGTTTATTTTCAAAATTTACAGTTGAATGGTTTTAAAATGGCATTTTTTACCCCTTCGTTATACTCTGTTTAACCTTGCTTGATTAAAAATGTGTAAAGCTTTCCCCACATTTATAGTAACTGACACAGAAAACAATTTCCAATCTTCATTTTAAATGCATTAGAAAATCACCTTCCCAAAAATCTCTTTGGCTAACCTTGCTGCCATTAACATGTTGTAGTTTTCAACTCCACTTTCTTGTCTGGCAGAGTTAGATGACAAAGCTGCGAAGTTTCCCTACGAATGAAGTACTTGACTCTGAAGGCCACATTCCCAGCAATGTGGAGTTGTTTGTTTCATCTGTTCTGATCCCTTTGTATGTTTCCTGGCAACCAACACAAAGCCAACTAAAACTTTCCCTTTCACCTCCCCCTCTCCAGCTAATGACTGAACTGAAAGTTTGAATATATAATGTAAATGTTGAAATTTTTTTAAATAAAAGGACAGTTCATTTCACTCATTTTTTATTAATTTTTTGTATTTAATTTATTTGTATTATTTAAGGACTTTTAACATTATATAGGACATATTTTATGAAACAATATGATTAGTCAAAGAAAAAAGCATGACATCCCGGAATTTTATGTTTTATACACAGAAAATGGTTTATTCTTATATAATAGGAATCTCTTTCTTATATTCTTTTTGTTTTAGTTTCTATGTCCATAAAATAGAGATAGTTCAAAAAAGCTCCCAACTTGTTGAAAATGTTATAAAAAACACAGCATAACATAATATGATAAATCTAATGATAAAATTGCTTGCAGTGTCATTACTGGTTCAGCTAATAATAATGAAAAGGAGGAGAAAAAGAAGAAAAATTAACATTTTTTGAGTATTCACCATGTGCCAGGCACTAAAACTTTACGTTCATTGTCTTGTTTAAGCTTCACAACAATCCTACAAGGCAGATATGATCATTATCCCCATTTTACTGATAAAGAAGCAAAAAGGCGGGCACAGGGGCTCACGCCTGTAATCCCTGCACTTTGGGAGGCTGAGGCGGGTGGATGGCTTCAGTTCAGGAGTTTGAGACCAGCCTGGGCAACATGATGAGACACTGTGTCTTAGTAAAAATACAAAAATAATCAGCCGAGCATGGTGGTGCACACCTGTGATCCCAGCTACTCAGGAGGCTGAGGTAGGAGGATCCCTTGAACCTGGGGGGCAGAGGTTGCAGTAAGCCAAGATTGTGCCACTGCACTCCAGGCTGGGCAACAGAATAAGACCCTGTCTCAAAAAAGGAAAAAAAAAAACAAAAAAAAAAAAAGCAAAGAAAATGCCAAAGCTCACACAATTAGTAATACATGGAAGAGAACAGAATGGCTCCCAAACTTCAAAGACTGCATGTATTAGTCTGTTCTCTCACTGCTAATGAAGACATACCTGAGACTGGCTAATTTTTAAAGGAAAGAAGTTTAATTGACTCATAGTTTCACTTGGCTGAGGAGGCCTCAAAATCATGACAGAAAGCAAATGAGGGCAAAGTCACGTCTTACATGGCAGAAGGCAAGACAGCATGTGCAGGGTAACTCCCATTTATAAAACCATCAGATTCCATGAGACTTATTGACTACCAGGAGAACAGTATGGGGAAACTGCCCCATGAGTCAATTATCTCCACCTGGCCACGCCCTTGACACATGGGGATTATTACAATTTAAGGTGAGATTTGGGTGGGGACACTGACAAACCGTATCACTGTACTTTAGATGGATGTGCCTGTCACACTTTATTTTTATTTCTGTAAACTAAAAAGTTGGCATTACATCTTCTCTAGGGTCTCTTCCAGCTCTAACATTCTCTGAGCTGGTATTCACTAGAGGCATCATACAGAACAGAGAGAAGAGCATCCTGTGGGAGTTCCTGTACCCATTATGGAAAAGTTCATTTATGCTTTCATTCATGCTTTCATTTATTCATCCATCTATCTGTCATTATTCTTTCAAAAAACCATTTATTAATAGCCTAATAGGGAGGGCATGATGGCTCACGCCTGTAATCCCACACTTCGGGAGGCCGAGACGGGCAGATCACTTGAGGTCAGTAGTTCAAGACCAGCCTGGCTAACATGGAGGAACCCCATCTCTACTAAAAATATAAAAATTAGCTGGATGTGGTCGGGTGCCTGTAATCCCAACTACTGGCGAGGCTGAGGCAGGAGAATCGCTTGAACTTGGGAGGTGGAGGTTGCAGTGAGCCGAGGTCTCACCACTGCACTCCAGCCTGGGTGACAGAGATAGACACTGTCTCTCTCTCTCTCTCTCTCTCTCTCTCTCTCCATATATGTGTGTGTGTGTGTGTGTGTGTGTACACCTAATATATGTCAAGTTCTGAATTGTGACCTGTTGCCTGCCGTAAGGGCTTTACAGTCTAGTCAGAGCAATTATCCGTCTAGCTCATCTTTAATGCCAATTCCAACCTCTTGCTCTTTATAGTGCTATGTTCAGAGGATTCTGAAGCCATAGCTAGGCTCGAAGGAAAAGAGTGGAATTAGATAGATAGATAGATAGATAGATAGATAGATAGATAGATAGATAGAGATATGTATCACACACACAGAACAGAGGGTATATTTACCAGATTTGCTTTTCTTAGATAAGCCCTTCTTATAAGTTAGGAAAACAGTTTTAACCCCAATATTATGAGTCCCCTAAGTTATCTTACATGGGAACACAATTTGTCTACCTACCACCCTAGTTAGTAAGTTAATAATAGTTTAAATCTGTTGGATCAGCCCCATAAATGTTTGTAAAATGTTTTATAGTGATATTCTAGAGAGTTGGGCTTAGTTCAGTAACAGACACTAATGAGGGAAGGAAGAGGAAATACGAAAAACATTCTGTAAAGATGCACCATGAGAGGTAGGTATCCCACTGGCCGACAATGCAAAATTCTCTAATTATTCTAAGACAGACAAGCTGCCTGGCCTACTTAGCTGCCATAAAGTTGCAGCTCTAAATGTTTTCATTAGTCAAAACAGGAAAGTATAATGAGCAGCTAACAAATTACAGTAGAAGTTAATCAATTGACACAGTTTTCTTGCTATAAAATTATGGCATTAGAAATAATTCTTCATCATAAAGTCTTAAGAGGCCCTAACCTTCTCTGTAACTGTGTGGTTAATTTTCAGCTTAATTTCTGCAGCACTGTAAAATCCATAACTAGTCTCTTGACTGATGAAATTTACCCTCTTGCTTGCCATGCATCTATTATGATATTGTGAAAATCAAGATGGTGACAGTTTAATCACCTTTAGAAGGCCAAAAAGCAGATTGACACTTGCTCCCTTCTCCTATAGGGATCAGCCAACACCTGCCAGCATAGTGGAACCCTAAGTACCAAGAGGGCAGAGTAAGCTAATACATCCACTGGTCTTCGACACTTGGGGACTGAATAATTCTCCCCACTAAATAGACACACCAATCTGTGTCTTTATCACAATTCACAGTCCACACCCAGATCCCTGCTCTCTCCTTCCCCCACAATTTATTGCCACCAACATAAATATAGACCTCCCTTTTATATTATTTAAGGACAATTTTTTACTATTATATTTTCTACAAAGTAGGATACATATTATGAAACAATATGATTAGCCAAAGAAAAGAGCATGAAATTCTGGAATTGTATGTTTTACACACAGAAAATGTTTTATTCTTATAGGATAGGAATCCATTCCTTATATTCTTTTTGTCTTAGTTTCTATGTATATAAAACAGAGATGGTCCAAAAAAGCTTCCAACTCATTGAAAATGTGAGAAAAACACAGTATACCATAATATAATAAATCTAATGATAAAACTGCTTGCAGTGTCATTACTGGTCCAGCTAATAATAATAAAAAGGGCAAGAAAAAGAAGAAAAATTAACTTTTTTTGAGTAGTCGCCATGTGCTAGGCACTAAAACTTTACATTCATTGTCTTGTTTAAGCTTCAAAACAACCCTACAAGGCAGTTATGATCATTATCCCCATTCTCCTTCCCCCCCACAATTTATCCCCACCAACATATAGATCTCCCTTTTCCTTTTCTTCTAACTCCTCTTTCTTTCTTTGCCCACCGTTCACACTGAAGCCTGTTCTTACTCATTAATCTTTGCCTAAATTCTCCCTCCACCTCCTCGCTTCAGTTGAAATCAGTTTTACTTTACCAACCTCATTTCCATCCAAGCCTTCTCAAGTCCTCACTGCTCCTTGTTCCAGCCCTCATCTCTCCAGGAGGAGAAAGAGAGGATGTTTCTCCCATCAGCTTCTTGCCTCTTGACCTCATGCCTTCTCAGGATAGCCCCAAACACCCGCTGGCTCTGTGTAAAGGGAACTTCCTCTCAAAGCCTCGGGAAAGCTCTGGCCCTGCCCTTGGCACCTTTTAAGCTCTCAACAGATATTAGTTTCTTTCCTTCTTTGTTCCTCATCCTCTCAGTTAGAATGAATTATTCCTTTCACTCTACAACCACAGCATTTTTTTCAGACTTTAACCACAGCACTTTTTCTTCCTTCTTTGTAATGTAATTAGTTGTCTGTGTATCTCTCTCTCCCACTAGATTAACTCCTAAGAACAGGGATGATACCTCACTAATGCTGTAGCCTTACATTTCCCAACACAGCGTGTTGCATAAATTTCTTGACACTACAGTAATGTATGCTCATTTGTAAACAGGATGGGTAAAGGAGATATTCACCTATAACCTTGAGTTACCAAGCAAGGGTCCTGGGAATAGGTGGCATTGAATCAGAAAGAGCAGCAGAATTCTGGGGAAAAAGAAAATCATATGACTCAAAGTTCATTAAGAAAAAGAGGGAAAGAAAATTAGTGACAGAAATAAAACTTGAGACAGTATCTTGAAGCCACTTAACAAAATTATCAAGTGCTTTTTGAAAAAAATCATTTCTTTTTTTTTTCCATACAATTTCTATGTAATGTGCAAATATGTTCTGAGGCTTTACTCTGTCCCAGGTACTGCTTCTAAACACTGGAAAAGCAAAGATAAATGAGATAGGTCTCTGTGCCCATCATTGCTCAGAGACACATACCACAGTAAATGTTGACTTTGAATTCATCCTATCTTTTGAGAAAGCAGTTTCCATTGTTAATCTTGAGCAACATAATGTTAGCCTTTTCTTTTTTTTTGATATGCTGAACAATATTCAAAGTAACAACACTGTAATTTTTTTATTATTTTCTTTCTTTCCTTTTTTTTTTTTTTTTTGAGACAGAGTTTTGCCTTGTCACCCAGGCTGGCATGCAGTGCTGTGATCACAGCTCACTTCACCATCAACTTCACAGGCCCTTCCACCTCAGCCTCCCAAGTAGCTGGGACTACAGGAATGTGCCACCATGCCTGGCTAATTTTAAAACTTTTGTGCAGAAACAGGATCTTCCTATATTGCCCAGGCTAATCTCGAATTACTGGGCTTAAACCATCCCCCTGCCTCAGCCTACCAAAGTGCTGGATTATAGGAATAAGCCACTGCACCCAGACAAAACTGGATTTTCATAACAGCATTTCTCAAACTTTTCAAGTATTTGAACACAGAATTATTAAAATAATGATATCCTAAAACAACTAAATATATAATTTTGTAGTAAATTACACATCATAAAGAAGCAAGCAGCGGTAGCCAAATTTAAAAATAGATGTGGAAGTAGCTTATAAAATTGAGAAAATTTTTCACTTAAATGTTCTAACTTACTTGAAAAAAGTGCACTAAGACTTTATCAGTAGACACTTAGAATCCGCCAAATTTAATATTGAGATCAGTACTTAAAAGTATTCATGGCTGGGCACAGTGACTCACACCTGTAATCCCAGCACTTTGGGAGGCCGAGGCAGGAGGATCATTTGAGGTCAGGAGTTCAAGACCAGCCTGGCCATCATGGTGAAACCCCATCTCTACAAAAATACAAAAAATAGCTGTGCGTTGTGGCACATGCCTGTAATCCCAGCTACTCAGGAGGCTGAGGAGAATTGATTGAACCCGGGAGGCGGAAGTTGCAGTGAGCCAAGATTGCACCACTGCACTCCAGTCTGGCAACAGAGTGAGACTGTCTCAAAAAAAAAAAAAAAAAAAAGTATTCAGAAGGCCAGTCTATTTATGCAAATTCTGATGAGTGTTTCCAACAACAAATCACTTTCGTCCCTCTTTGCTTTAACGTATCTTCCCTTTGAAATCCAGCATCCTTGTTTTCAGTCATATGTGGGTCTCTCAGACACCAGTGGGGCTTTCATAAGGGAGCCACTTACTTGGCAATTGCTCTGAACTACCTAACTACATTTCTTTACATTGCCTCTCTGAGAGAACTGTCTGCTATTCTACTTGGGGCTTTAGAACAGTTTGTCAAAGTCAGCTAAATATCGAACACTTGCAACCATGTTTAGAGCCACTAGAAAACAGTCATAAAATCATTGCATGAAAGAAGTCACTCATAATCCAGTAAGCATTTACTGATTGTCTCCTTGAAGAAAGACAGAAAACAGGTGGGAAATGAACAATTATTGAGTTCCTAGTATATGCCAAACATTGTGTTAAGCACTTTCACAAATGTTATTTTATTTAATCCTTGTGATATCTCTGCAAGGTACCTAATGTTTCCTCTTTTTTTTTTTGACAGATGAGGAAACTAAAACAAAAAATATCTCATCCAACTACTTACAACTTGCAAATTGTATAATGTAGCAATGGCCAATAGAATGACGCTATGCACTTTAAGAATATTACATACATTAGTTCCTTTAATTTTCCTAGAAATCCGATGATATGGGTGCTATTATTGTCACCATTTTTAGATGAAGAAACTGAGGCTTAGGCAGGGCAAATGACGTGTTAGGATCATCCAGCAAGAAGTAGAAAAGCTGGAGTTCAAACCCCAAGTTTCTCCATAGTATAAAGCCCTGTGCAGGGTAGACTGCTAACTACCACAATAAATTCTAACCCAGTTCAGGAGCTAAAATGTGCAAAAAGTAAAGAAATAAGAAAGCTCATACTAGGAAATAAAGTCAAATGGGCTTAAAATTTGGAGTCAAAATACCAGGTTCAAGTCTTGTTTCTCTCATTTTCAGCCCTATCATCTCGGGCAGGTTGAGTCATTTCTCAAAATGAGATAGCAGAATTGTTTATCTCATAGAATAGTCTTAAGGTTAAAAAGAGAAAATACAGTGAAAACTCTATGTAAATTTTAAAACATTATGCACATGAATTAACATTAATATTATTACACAGTTGGAAGAAGGTATATTTCGTGCAACGTTGGAAAAATAAGGTAGGAGTTCACAGAGAGATGGGAATATTAGAATTGTAAAACAGAATGAAGCAAAATTATCTATATCATGACATTTCACATTAAAGCTGAGATTCTGTAATCATTTTCATTGTGTTTAGGAAGGTCTTATGTCTAAATCTATCCCAGAGAGCAATGCTATATCAATATTTCAATGTTAGTTATTAAATGCAATGATTGTGTGTGCACACACATTTGTATGAGTTAGTAGATGTGTGATTTTATCATTTTGAAAAAATACTTCCTTCCTTATGATTAGTCAGAGTTAATGTCAACTATAGACATTGTCCCTAAGAGGGCTTGGTCTATTCGGCACTGTCTGAATCTGTTTTTAACAACAACAGAAATGATATTCAAAGCAGTGTAACTACTGTCTACCATAATGTGACCCTCTTAGACTGTCTGAGTGCCCGAATCCCCAGAATCAGATGTTTTTTTTTTTCCTAAAACATTAAACGCTCTATTCTAGAAAGAAAGTCGATTTTAATTTGGTCTCACTGAATGACTTAACCCGAAAGGAAGAGATATATACATATAAACACATGCGCGCACCCGGAGACGGAGACACAGAGGAGACAGAAAGAAGAGAGATAGAGAGAAGGGGAGACATGTCACGGTATAAGACTGGAAGTTTCTTAGATAAGTTGCCTCATAAGGGGAAACTGTGGGCAGTTACAGTACTCTGGGTACACTGACCACTAACTGGGGTGGCAGAAGTATTACATAGCGATAAGAGTATCTCTGAAGGGAATAAAATACAATGAAACAGTAATTCTAAATTTAGAGTCAGGAGACCTGGATTTTGGTGCAGCCTCCACCATGTCCATATGACTCGAAAATTTACACTCATTGGGTGTCAGTTTCCACAGTCCTAAGTGACGATAATGATTCCTACATGCACAGTGCAAATAATTACTTTGAGACTCAAATGAAATCATGTATAGAAAAACATTTTCTAGCCAGAAATGGCTATGTAAATATTTAGTTTTTGGTTGGATGATTCATTCATTTTTTATGTTTATGTGACTTAACGTGTGTAGAGCATTACCCTAGTGATACCCAATAGCCATCAGTTATGAGTCTTAATATTAAGGAGCATAAAGTCCAGAAAATGACATAAGCCATCTATATGAATCAGATAGGTAAAAAAGGGTATAGATGAAATGGTACGGATGTTAAGGAAAACATTGCTTAATTATATATGGTTGAGGAGGCATGGTAGATTGAGTAAAAATGGCTTTGGAATTGGTGACATTTGAATGGGTGTTATGGCTTGACCTGTGTGCCCCAGAATTAATATGTTGAAGTCTCAACTGGGGCTACCCACGTACCACAGAATGTGACCTTATTTGGAATAGGGTCATTGGAGATGTAATTAGTTAAGATTAGGTTATACCAGAATAGTGTGGGCTCCAATCCAATATGACTGGTGTCCTTATAAAAATAGAAAATTGTCTATAAACACACACACATACGCAAACACACAGGGAAAGCCATGTGAAGACTGGAGTTTGCTGTCACAAGACAAGGAACTATCAGAAGCTGTAAGTGAAGCCTGGAATAGATCCTTTCCTAGTGCCTTCATAGGGAATATGGCCCTGCCAATGCCTTTATGTCAACTTCTTGTCTCTAGAAACAAGACAGTAAATTTCTGTAATTTAAGCCACTGAGTTAGTGGTATTTTGTTATGGAAGCCCTTGGAAACGAATACATTTGGTTATATGGGAACACAGCAAAGCAAGTTTATGGGTAGAAATGTATGTTGTTGAAGTTTGTTATTATTAGACTAATATAAGATACAAATAAATAGAATCATTATATTATAATAATATACCTACAATATTAAGCACCCAGCACAGTGCTTGACACATAGTAGGCACCAAATAAATATTGAATGAATGTTTTAACCAACAAAAAGGAGATCACAGAAAGAGGAATGGACTGGCATCAAATATATGTTTTAATCTGTTTCATCCTCTTTTTTTTTTTTTTTCTGGGCAAAGCCTCTACTTACCACAAAAAAATCAGAAACATCCACATTTCTATGAAAAATGCTACCACTTCACCTTTGTTTACTTTAAGAAATTATGTTTAGGAAAACAAATAAAACGGAAAAAGGGCAATAGAAAGGAATTTTACACTTGTAAAAATCAAAGTTCTGAAACAAAATGCACTTTGAAAGATTGAAAGCTATAGTCCCAAGAGAGAATACTGGCACAATAAATTTTTCTCATGGAACATAGTGTACCTCCTGAGCATGGTGCCTTTGACTGAAAGCTATGAAGACCAAAGGCCTCTATTTCTCCACAGCAGGAGCAGCAATCATCAAATTAATATCGGAAGTGCACTCCTAAATCAAGTTGTTGCAAGTGTACTCATAAAGAAGACATCTTACAAAAATGCAGATGGAGCTTTTGCAATCATTGCCTAGGCCAAATGCTGTCAGAGAAAATGGATCTCAATTTACTCAATACATTTTGGTTTTGCAATTTTCAAGA